ACCATCCAGCAGGAGGCACTTGTAGCCAAAAAAAGATCACCAGAGTTAGATGTGCTTCGTGATAACATCAACATCATTAATTTCATTCAAAGTCATGCCCTGGACAGTTGTTTGTTTCCAAACCTTTGGAAAGACATGAACTTCGATTACAAAGGCTTATTACTACGTTCCGAGTTAATGCCTCATGAGGGCAAAGTTTAAACAGATTATTGAAACTGAAAGATGACTGAGCAGAAATCTGATTTTGTTAACTTTTTTCATAATGACTTACGGCTTTCAAAACTCTGTTATTTGTCAGATATTTTTGAAAAACTCAGTGACTTAAATATGTGCTTCATGGGAAAAATTATAACATATTTATGTTAAAAGATAAAATTGAAAGTTAATATATGGAAGAATAGGGTGGAAAATGGTTCTTTAGAAATGTTTATAACTACAGATGATCTCATAATTGAAAATAACCTCCCCAAAGATTTCATTGTAAGAGTTATAACTGATCATCTGAAGTACCTGGAGACACAATTTCAGAAATATTTCCCTTCAAATTTTGATTCTAAAAAACTAATTTGGGTTCATAAGCCGTACTCAATTAAAATAAAAAATGTCAGTCATCTGCTATTAAAAGTTTAAGAAGAATTTGCTGAGTTATGAAGCAATACAGGTTTAAAACTTGAGTTTCTTAAAAAATCATTAAATGAATTTTGGCTTGGGATTAGGACAGAATTTCCAACCATTTCTGAAATGGCCCTAAACATACTTCTGCCATTTTGTGCTACGCATTTATGTGAAGTCGTGTTCTCAGTATTGACTATTACAAAATCAAAATATTGATCAACTCTGAAAAACGTTGAAGATTGTCTATGTCCTGCAGTATCAAATATCCCACCAACAGTTAATTCTTTTTGTAAAAATAAACAAACACATCTGTCTCATTAGTATACAAATTTGCTTTTGTCTTTAGTAAATGGTAAAATTATGTGTATACCAAAGAATTGTTTTAAAATAAATTTCTTGGGCAGCTAGGTGTCACAGTGGATAGAGCACTGGCTCTGAAGTTAGGAGGACCTGAGTTCAAATCTGACCTTAGAGCAAACATTTGACACTTACTAGCTGTGTGACCCTGGGCAAGTTACTTAACCCCAGTTGCCTAATAAATAAATTTCTTTGTAATTTATTATCAGTAAACGTTTGATCTGTATACCTATTTTATATACCTATACCCAGGGTTCCGTAAAAATTTCTTGGGCAAAAAGGAGTGGAAAAAGAAGTTTAAGAAGTCCTGGCCTAACCTATTTCAATTAGGTTAGGATTAGCTGTCAGCCTCAAACAGCCCCAGATGCAGCAGAGAACTAGAATCGTGTTGTTGAGCAACAAAAATAATACCGACAACTTAAATGAAATTGTAAATATTTACAAAAAATATAAAATGCCCAAAAGGAACAGAACAAGAAATAGAGAATTTAAATAAGTCAATCTCAGTCAAAGAAATCAAAGAAACCCCAAATGAATCCCCAAAGGGGGAATAACCCAAGATCAGATGGATTTACAAGCAATTTCTATAAAATATTCGAAGAACAATTCCAATATTACATGAATAGCTTGCAAAACTAGGAACAGAAGAGATCCTACCAAATTCCTTCTATGAAACCAATACTGTCTAAATCCCTAAACCAGGGAGATTCAAAAGGGAGGAAAGCTCTAGCTCAATATCCCTGATCAATAATGACAATAAAATAAATATTAGCAAAGAGGTTACAGCAACATAGTAAAAAGACGATGCCCTATGATCAGGTTTGAGTTTATTCTAGGAATGCAGGTTTAGTTCAGTATTAGGAAAATCATAAAGATAATAGATGATATCAATACCAAGAACAACAAAAATTATAGGATCATTTGAATGAATGCAGCAACAAACGTTTGACAAAATACAGTATCTCTTTTCGTTAAAAAAAAGTTATTGGAAAGCATAGGAATAAACGAACCTTTTCTTAATATGGCAGCGTGCATGGATCTAAAACCAAGAGCAAGAAATATCTATAATAGGGATAAAGTAGAGGCTGTTCTGGTAAAATCACAGTAAAGCAATGCTGTCCATTACTTCCTACTATTACTTCCTTCAGTGCTAGAACTGTTAGCTATTACGATAAGATAAGAAAGAGAAACTGAGGGAAGACGCCTAGGCACAAGGAAACAACGCTCGCTTTTTGCAGAAGATATGATGGTTTACTTAGAAAACCCTAGAAAGTCAAGTGCGGGAGGATTCTTAACTAAAGGGGACAGAGGAGATCAGAAAAGAGAAAAGGGACAATTTTGATCACGTAAAAAAAGTTTTGCAGGAAAAAAATAGTGTAGTTAGGATAAAAATTCCAACTGCAGTTGTGATGCCAAAAATTATATAAAATATCCTTGAACAATTCTGATACCTCAGACATCTTTTGCTGCTGTTCAGTTGTTGAGTTGTGACCCCACGGACCCCAGTAGGCAGGGCTCTTCTGTCTTCCACTATTTCTTGACGTGTGTCCAAGTTCGTGTTCATGGCTTCCATGACACCATCCCTCCGTCTCATCCTCTGCCATCCCCTTTTCCTTTTGCCTTCAATCTTTTCCCAATATCAGGGTCGTTTCCAGTGAGTCCCATTTCTCGTTATGTGGCCAGAGTATTTGAGCTTCAGTTCTAGTGTCTGACCTTGCAGCGAATAGTCTGAATTAATTTCTTTAAGTATCGACTGGTTTGATCGCCTTGCCGTCCAAGGGACTCCCAAAAGTCTTCTCCAGCACCGTAGTTTGAAAGCCTTGATTCTGTGCCGATCGGCTTTCCTCATGGCCCACCTCTCACGGCCGTTGCTGTTTGTTCGTTCCTTGTTCTCCACGAGGACCGATGACATCACAAGGGCCATGTCTTGACTTGCAAGTGGATCGGATTTAGGTGAGGCAGAGCTGCTCAAAGTCATCAGCTCACTCTCCTCCAGTCGCTGGAGTTTGGTGACAGGACAGAAGCCAAGATGACCGGCAATGGCCCCGGGAAGCAAGCAGGGAAAGGGCAGAAGGCAGCTAGACGAGCTGAGAAATATGGCAGGGTTTGTGGTCTTCAGGGAGAAGCTGGATAACCGCCCATCGGATTTGTCCTAGGGAGGATGCCTTCCAACTCTAAACACCCTGTGTCAGTCCTAAGTCCTCTGCTTTGGCCAAAGGGATGTGTTCTCATTTGCTTATGTCGCTTTTATAATGAACCTAATACTTCATAGGTGGTCTGATCAGCTCCAAAGGACAAAACATCTATTATCTGCCCTGAGCTAATTGTAATGGACGTGCCCAATCTGGGGGAGGCAGCTAAGTAGTGCAGCGGACAGAGGGCTGGGCCTGCAGTCGGGAAGGTGTTCTGTCCGACTCTTCTGGGCAGGAAGATTAGTCTTCCTGATTCCATGCTCAGTGCTCCATCCACTGCGCCACCTAGCTGCCCATGGAGTCAAGAAGACCTGAGTTCAAATCCCACCAGTTATGTGGCCCTGGGCAAGTCACTTAAACTGTGTTTGCTTTGAACCACTGGAAAAGGAAATGGCAAACCACTCCATTAATCTGTGCCAAGAAAACCCCATGGACAGTATTGGTGTGCCATGAAGGGTCGGACAAGACTGAGCTACCAAACATTAGCAACAACAAATTGGTAAGAAAAGGAGGAATCACACTAAGGATCTCCCCAGAGGGGACGTCAGATACAAAGACCCCTATAGCCCAGCTGTCTCGGTCTTGTCTGGAACAGTCCATCCCAACCAGCAACCTTGTGTTCTTGCTCCAACTTGTCCAGAAAACACTCAATCAACCTCACTCCCCCTCCCTTCCCAGAAAAACAGGGCTTTGAGTTTAATCTCTTACCCACAGATATCCATCTGAACACTACCTCCAGCCTCTTAGCCTGTATTATTCTAGTGAGGCTAGAGCTGGGGTTCCTCATTTAGAAACAGCAAAACCCAGCACAATCAAGGGCCAAGGCTGAGAGGAGAGGGCACTGGACCAGGTAGAGTCCAAAGACCTCGGTTCTGATCCCAGCTCTGCCAGGGACGTCACTCCCTGGGTTATTTGGCTGGGCTTCTGTTCCTATTTAAAAGGGGGGATTTGAACTTCATTTCTTACTAAGATTCTTTAAAGTCGCAACATTAACTGCTATTGGGGCAGTGAGTGGACAGGGGTAAGGTGGAGATTGTCCAAAAAGAGATTCCCATCTTGCCTGTACTGTCTGCCTTATGACAGCTACAATGAAAAGCCTGGCGCATAGCAGAGTGTGAGGGACTGTCTGATGTTGGCAGTTGCCAGTTGGGCGCTGTGGCAAGAGTAGGGTAAGATCTGGGTATTTTGGAAGTCGAGGCAGGGGCTGTGGTAGGCGGAGTCGTGGTGAACTGGGATGGGCTGGGTAAGGAGAAGCCCTGAGGCAGTGGGCAGTGCTATGTGAGATAAGCTGGGTGCAAGGAAGTAGCTTGAGCTCCTGAGGCAAGGGGCGGTGCCACGTGGGAGTGGGACGGCAGAAGACTGAGTTCCCTTTGCTTAGTCCCCTCCCTATATGCAACGTCAACCCCAGACGCCTCCATCTTGTGACCTTCCTGACTTCCTGGGTCCCTTTGTGTAGCACTGACCCCAGACCCCTCCTCCCAGTATCTGAGTCTGACTTCCTAGGTCACGTACTCTGTCTATGCACTAATCCCAGATGCCTCCTCCCTGTATCTGGTCCTAGCCTCCTACGTCACTCCCTCCCCCTTGGTGTGCTAAACTCAGACAGCCCCTTCCGGTATCTGACCCTACAATCATTGGCTAGTAAGCGGGCTGAGGAGGAGGGGCTAAGTAGGTACTTAGGAACCAGCGTGGTCAGATCGGGCTCTCTCTCTTGGCTCCTGCTCTGTTGCTCTGGCCTTGCTGCTTGGGGTTGCTGTGATGGCTTGCTGTGATGGCCTCTGAATAAAGCTCTGGTGTTGGCGCCTCCCGATGGCTCGTCTCTGTGTGTTTATCCGTCTGAGGACCGAAGACTCGGAAGTGAGTATGACTCTGGCAGCCTGCTCCTTATAGGAGGAGAGGGTCGGCGCAGCTGGTACAGCAGAGGATTCCACGAATGGATGTAAGGGGGTGGGAGCAGAGATCAGGCACTCTCCAGATCAACGCTCCTGCCCACTCAACGTAGCTCCTCAGGGGGATCTTGGACCCAGCCAGGCTAGTTTTCCGGCTTCCTTCGGCTTCCAGTCCTCTCCCCTCCGGGCAATATAAGAAGGAGTTAACAGAGTTAACCTAGGGCAGCTTCTCCAAGGTCTGGGAGGGCTCTCCAGGCCACACATCATCTGCCATGCTCAGCTGCTCTCGGAGTCCTAAGCCCTGGGGATAGAATGGTCCTTGCTCCCAAGGAATTCTCGCTCTGCTAGGGGAGACATCGGGCCAACGTGGTAGTTTCATGGTGTGTTGTGGTGGTACCATCTCAAAGAATTCAAACTAATCCAAACCTCTAACCCAAGTACAGGCATTTATGGAGGACTGACGCCCCTCACGAGCGGGCTAAGGCTCCAAGAAGATACCAGCAGCTTAGTGAGAGGACACAGGCAAATTTGTAGTGTGATGATGCTGATTACGAGACAGAAATTAAGCATATGAAAAAGGCAGGAGGGGTTTGTAAGGGATTAGGTAATGGGGAGGGGTCCCTTCTATGACTCGGTGGTCAGGCATCCTGGTCCTGCTGCTTCTGATTGGCTATTGTGGTCCTGGCTTGGGCTAACTGGGTGATGCGATTGTGGTGCAGTACCGGGACACACCTGTGCAAACATGCCAAGCGCATCTGGGGGCGGTGGCCGTATGGAGTCTGGGGGCCCGGGGTGTGGATTGTGTGGCGCAGTCAGGCCACGCCTGCTGTTCTGCGGGGCCCACAAGGAAGTTAGAATGTCCTCACCAGCAGCCATAAAACAAGTTGTAACCGGGAGAGATGTCCCGCAGGAGGTGGGGCTTGAAGGAAGCGGGGCAGGTCAGTGGTTGGAGCGGAGGAGGGAGCGCGCTCCGGGCATGGGGCACAGCCAGTGAACATCCATCCGCACAGCTGGCGATGGAGAGTCACATGCCTGGAGCAGCAAAGAAACGCGTAGCGCCGCGCCGCGGAGCGTGTGATGGGCAGTGAGGCGCAAAAAGCCCGGCAAGGCGCGGGGGTGTTGGGTGGTGAAGGGCTTCGAATTCTAGCGGCAGCTCGCCTCTGAGCCTGGAGGAGCTGGAGGGCCACTGTAGTTGGAGCAGGAGGCGAGGGAATGACGTGATCCAACGTGGCTTTGGAGAAATCGCTCGGTGGCTTTAACAGTTCTCTTGCCACTGCAAAAAGGGCCGCTTTGATTAATTTCCAAATGCCGGGCTTTTTTTTTGAAACTTCGTGAGTTCTATGCACAGCAGTGGGGTCTCAGAGTCAAAGGGGCCTGGGGTCCAGCTGGGGCCACTTCCCAACTCACACAGGGTCCCCCAGGTACAGCTCCGAGCCTCGAGTGATGCGTTACCAGACAGCCAGAGAACACGATACGTTCAAAGCAAAGGAAATCAAACAGGGAGAAAGAATATCTGCGGCCCTCCTTCCCAGGGAAGGCCCAGGGCTGACTACATTTCCCAGAATCCTTGTGTTCGGACTCGTGGCTTGTCAAGGCCAATCACCACAGACTATGTAAAATTCTGGGAACTGTAGTGTTGTCGCTCTCTGTACGCAGGCGCAGTTCCGCTGGCGGGTTGGAGGAAGAGAGAGTGCGCACGCGCGGTTCGGGGGGGCTGTTTGGGTCCGCGGCAGAAGCTTCTGAAGACAACTGGATCCGATCTCTGAGAAGCTCACGCGGTGCCTAGGGGGCGCGCGACCCAACGGCCCCTCAAGCCCAAGGTCCCGAGGCCTCCTGGGAATGGTAGTTCACAGTCTCCGGATGCGCAGACGCAGTTCTCTCAGTTTCAGGCTGGGCTCCGGTGAGACGAGGCGGGAGCGAGTGCGCATGCGTCTCGCAGCGAGGCTCGTGAGTGACGTGGCCGGTGAGTGGGTGTGCGTGGGGACGGGATCTGCCCGCTCCCTCTGCCTCCTCCCTTCCCATGCTCCCCGCCCTATCCTCGGGCCATTGGCGGGTTGGGCTCCCCGTTGCCCCTAGAGTCGCCTAGGCCTCGTAGGCGGGGAAACTGAGGCCTGGGGAGGGGAGGACCTGGTCCGGGAAGACTCCACGCCCGCGCACTTCCCCCGGGCCCCCGCAGAGGCAGAGCTCGGGGTCCTCTCTGGCCGCCGGGCCTTTGCCCAGGCCGTCCCTCCCTCCTCAGTGCCCTCTCTCGGCGTCCTTGGATGTCGTCAGGGCCCGGCCGCAGCGGCGCGGTGTGACCACTGGTCAACGCCGCCCGGCCTCCCTCTTTCCCAGGGATCCTGAAGCGCCCCCCCCAATCTGGTACGGCTCAGTGCCCCTCCCCCAGCCCGGCCAGGAAGACCCGAGGTCCAGGTAGTGAGCCGCTACTTGCCTCAGTTTCCCCATCTGTATCAGAGGCTTACCAAAAGCTTGCTCCTTGGCCCCTCCCCTTCCTATGAGGAGGCGGCACCCGGTGTGGGAGAGCCCTTCTGCTTTCCCGGGCATTTTTTTTTTTTTTAACATTTCCCAATTGTACTTTATTTATTTATTTTTTTTTGCGAGGCAGTTGGCGTTAAGTGACTCGCCCAGGGTCACACAGCTAGTAAGTGTTAGGTGTCTGGTTGGAGACTAGATTTGAACTCAGGTCCTCCAAGGCCGGTGCGCTATCCGCTGCGCCACCATTTTAAGGGCTCCCTTGACCCCTTTTCTTCTCCTGGTTGCGTGGGCGGCATTAAGCTGCACCCCTTGTCCGTCAGCGGCCGGGCGCGTGGGTCGGTCCTGGGGAGCCCGCTCTGCCCCTCCCGCCGGCCCCTCGGGTCCCCGCACCCCCCCCAGGGCCTCCCTCCGTGGGGTCCTGGGGCTCGGCGGGACCCCCTCCCGTGATGGGCGCCCGTCGGGGGCCGCTGGCCGTGTCTGTGCTCCCGGAGGGGCGGGCTCCTCAATCCCGCCCCCACCGTGGTCATTGTCCGTCTTCTGGTCACCTTGGTCCGGCTGGTGGGGAGGAAGCGACACCCCGGAGCCGCCGCCCTTGGCATTTCTGCGATTGACTGATACCCGTCATCGCGGCGGCGTCTGCCTCTGCCCTGCTCCTCGGGCGTGTTTTCGCTGCCTCCCTTACCTCTCGCCGCGTGCCCCTTGGGAGCTCCTCCCCACCTGCCCGGTGTTCCCCTGGCAGGTGCCCCGGGCTTGATCCCACGCAGCGCTGCTGGGTTCGGGGACTTGGGATGCCCCCCGCCGCATTCCCCCACGCCTCCGCGTTTTCCGTTTTTAGGCAGTGACAGGGCGTTTTGATGGTTCCCGTTTTGTCGTGTATTTTGAAAATCTCCGGGTGAATTCTGTCTTATTTTTTTCTAGTTCCATAAAGTAATCCTTTGGTCGTTTGCGCAGCACGGCACAGAATCTGGATGGTATTGCCGTTATAATTGTGTTGGCGTAGCCCATCCGTGAGCCGTTAATGTCTCTCCAATTATTTGTCTTCCTTCATTTCTGTGAAGAGCGGTGGTGTACTTCTGTGATTTCTGTGTGCCTCGGTAGGTAGAGTACGAGGCATCCCGTATTCTGTGGTTCTTGTGAATGGCGTTTCTTTCTCTGTGTTTTAACGCTGGGTCTTATTGGCAATACCGGCAGTTCGCTGTAAAGGGACATAGGCATCCCCCCAGAGTATCTTGCTATTCAGAATCTCACAGGGGCAGCTAGGTGGCACAGTGGATAAAGCACCGGCCCTGGATTCAGGAGGACCTGAGTTCAAATCTGGCCTCAGACACATAACACTGACTAGCTGTGTGACCCTGGGCAAGTCCCTTAACCCCATTGCCTAGCCAAAAAAAACAAAAACAAAACAAAAAACAAAAACAGAATCTCACAGTCAAAACCACAAAACCACTGATGGGAAAAATGGGACTAGGGGCACATTGTCGGTGACACATAGAAAATGATAGGAACCTAATAAAAATGGCAGCACTGTTTTGGGGGCATGTTGAAATACGTGAATATCGTAATGCGTGGGGAGTTCATTCGAGGCCCATTCCTGGGGCTACACGGGCCTGTTGGACAGGCCCGAACTTCAGCCTTGGGACCAGAGTGAGGCTCGTGGAAGGGAGGAGGGGAACAAGCATTTATATGGCGCCTACTGTGTGTTCCAGGCCCTGCCCTGGGGGCCTCAGCAGGCCCTCCTCCACCCTGCACCGGGAGACAAACGCGGCCCCTTCCCTTACCAGGACCTGAAGTCTGCCTGTCCAGGAGGCCTGAGGTGGCCCCGTTGGCCAGTTACCGTCCCAGGAGGCGTTTTCTGCTTTCTCCGTTCTTCCAGGGTGGCGTCGCCCAGGGGCCAACTTAGTTTACGATCCAGATGCTCTCTGACCCACCACTTATGTTGGGACAAATTTGCCATTTCACAACATGGGTCACAATGCAGAAAACTAGGTGGTTTTGTGGTCTGACCTCACGGAAGCCAGGCTTCTCATTCCTTTTTGAGTTCACTCGGCAGGGTTCTTTAAGGAAGCCGTTGGATCATTTGCAAAAAAGTGATTCGTTGCCTCATTTTTTTTTTCTAATTGTTACCATTTCCGTGTTTTTTTTTTTCAAAAATGGTGGTGACTGGATATTCCTGCTTTAGTGCTTATCTTTTTGGAAAGACCCCTTTCTATTTCTCCAGTGCAGATAGTGATCGTTTCTGTTGACCATATTAAGAAAACATCTGTTTTTCCCTTCTCTTTCTAGTGTTTCTAATGTAAAATGGTGTTTCATTTTCCCCAAAGCCTTTTCTGCATCTATTGACATAGTCATGTGGTTTTTATTGTTTTTGTATTAATATGCTTTATTATATTTATAATTTTCTCGGTATTGGACCAGGGCAACTAGGTAGTGCAGTGGATAGAGCACAGGGCCTCACACACTTGCTGGCTGTGTGACCCTGAGGCAAGTCACTTAATCCTGTTTGCCTCAGTCTCCTCATCTGTAAAATGGGCTGGAGAAAGAGATGGCACACTGCTCCAGGATCTTGGCCAAGAAAACCCCCAGATGAGGTCATGAAGAGTCAGACATGACTGGAAAAACTGAACTGAAGTGTTGAACCAACCTTGCATTCCTGATATGAACTCCGTGTGATCATAGTCTATAATCTTTTTTATCTGTTGCTGTAACCTCTTTGCTAGCATTTTATTTAATATTTGTCAGAGATATTGGTCTATAGTTTTCTTTCTCTGACTTAATCATTTACATAACACTTTAAGGTTTGCAAAATTATTTACGGATATTTTTAATTTTATCCTCATAACAACCCTGGGAGGTATAAGCTATAATTATTTCCATTTTATAGATGAGGAAACTAAAGCAGATAGAAATTTAGTGCCTTGCCCAGGATCACACAGACAGTGTTTGTGGTCTAATTTGAACTCAGGTCTTCCTGACTTAAACTCTAACACTCCATCCGCAGCCCCACCTAGCTGCTTCTTCCCTGGTTTAAATGTCAGGACTGTATTTGACTCATGAAAGAAGTTTGGTAGATATCACCTTTGCCTATTTGTACACACAAGTTACACGAAATTGAAGCTAATTGTTCTTTAAATGGTAGAATCCATTTCCAAATCTATGTGGGGCTGGGGAGTTTTTCTTTAGAATTTCATTCTTAGCTTGTACCTTTCTTTTTCAGAGATTGGGTTAGTTAAGTTCTCTAATTTTTGTTCTGCTAACCCTGAGTATCAGATATTTTTGTAAATAGTCAAGTATATAGTATAAGTTGAGAGGGGTTTTTTTGCCATATCGTTGGGAAAAGTAGTTTCTTTTTTATTTGTTATTTTTATTTTTTAATTTTTTTATTAATTTATTTTTAGTTTTCAACAATCACTTTCATAAGCTTTTGAATTTTAAATTTTTCTCCCCTTCCCTCCCCCCTCCCTCCCCAAGTTGGTGCACAATCTGATATAGGCTATACATATACATTCCTATTAAACATATTTTCACATTAGGCATGTTGTAAGGCAGAATTAGAACCAACGACAAGGAAGAGGAAACAAAACACAACAGAAGGGAAAAAAAAGAGCAAATAGTCTGCTTTGATCTGCATTCAAACTCCATCGTTCTTTCTCTGGACGTGGAGAGCATTTTCCATCGTGAGGATATGTCTTAGATCCTTGCACTGCTGAGAAGTCTGTCAAAGTTAGTCGTCGCACAGCGTGGCTGTTACTGTGTACAACATTCTCCTGGTTCTGCTCACTTCACTCAGCAGGAAAAGTAGTTTCTAAGGATTTCTTTTATTTCCTCCTTATCTGTTGTGAATTCTCTTTTTTCATTTTTGATGATTTGCTTTTCTCCTCTTTCTTTAAAGTTAGCTAAAAGTTTGTCTTTAGTGCTTTTTCTTTTTTAGTTTAGTTTTTCTTTTTTATTCTCTACACTTAATTCATAGATCTGTCTTTTCTCTCTTTTATTGTCAAACGTACTTAGAAATATAAATGTTCCTCCAAGGACTGAGCTGTCTGTGTCCCAAAAGTTTTGGTGTATTGGCTCATTGCGATTTATTTATTTTTGTGTGTGTGTGGGGGTAATTGGGGTTAAGTGACTTGCCCAAGGTCACACAGCTAGTAAGCGTCAGAGGCGAGATTTGAACTCAGGTCCTCATGACTCCAGCGCCTGTGCTCTATAGATCCACTATGCTATCTTATACCAAATACACATCCTCTACTGCCCCTGCTCATTTTTCGTTGTTTCATTGAAGATATTTGTTATTTCTATGATTTGTTCTTTGACACACCAATTCTTTAAATTTCTTTGATCCACTAGTTCTTTAAATTACCTAGTCTGCTTTTAAGTTTGAATCCTTTCCTTGACATAGTAATTTTATGGTGTCACAGACAGAAATGGATACGTTTAAGCTTTCTGCTTCTCTGCATTTGTTTATTAGGTTTCATCCTCTAGAACGTGGTCAGTTTTTCTAATGGTGCAAAAACAGCTGAGAAAAACATCTGCCCCTCTCAGTTCTTCCTTGGTCCTTGTGAGAGCTGTCACATTTACCTTTTCCAAAAGTTCTTTTCAGGTCCTTCTTTCTTATTTATCTTTCGTTAACTTTGTCGAGTTCTGCGTATCGCAGTCACTGTCATTTTGCTGCTTATTCATTCTTGTCTATTCCTCATTGGATGTGATGTATTTCTGTGCCAAACCATTTGTGTTTGGGTGTTCATCCCACTTTTGCTCAGTTTAGCTAAGAGGAAGGTCCATGAGAAGCCCTCTATCCTTACCCCATTTGTCATATTCCTGTACTCCTCTCAGTTTGTGGACCCCATCTATGAGAAATTGCAAGTTCCTTCACCTTCATTTTTTCCTTAGAATGTTCCTTTTTCCTTACCTTTCCCCTCTCTGTCAAAAGCAAGAATATGGAACCCCAGGTCCTTTTTTGTCTTTATTCCCTGTGTGGCCCTAGAAGCCAGTGGGATGTTAAGGGCCACATGTCCCTTCCCTGCCTCTTAGACTCTACATACATCATTATGACCATTGCTTAAATGAGTTTACCTCAATGGGTTTCCTTTGTCTCCTGTCTTTGTATTTTAGAGATTGTACCCAACTCTTATCTTTTTATCAGGGATACTTTTTCTCCCTGTTCTACAAATAGAATGAAGTACTGTCTACATTCTTACCCTGTTGGACATTGTGCTCAGTTTTGTGGGGTAATTCTTGGTTGTAAGACTGTCTTTTGTCTCTTAGAATATTGTACTTGAGGATTTTCTCTACTTTTTAGTAGTTGCAGCATCGTCTTGGGTGACCCTTCAGAGATATAACGAAAACGTTTGTTCCGATAAATTTGGAGCAAACAGCTAGAGAAATAACTAAGTAAAACAGGATCCAGTAGGTCTCATGTTTTACTGACACAAGTTAGTTAATTAGAACAAAAGATTCCATGAAATTGAAACAGCTGCTAAAAGTAACTAGGTAAAATAGGATAAAGCTGGTCTTATCTTGTTTTGCTGATAGAAGTTAGTAAGTAGGACAAAAATTAAGTTTGCTTAGAGTGTGCATGCTTATTAGACTTATAAATATTAGTTTCTCCACCTCCAGGAGGGGCTGAGACACCATTTTCTGAACATGGGATGTCTAAAGAAGAAGGAGTGATGTGTCAAGGAGTAGATGTGTAATAGGTGTACCGGAAAGTTGTACGCTCTGGAGTACTCAGCCAATGAGGAAACAGAGGAGGGGCTTTGTGAGGCTGGGATTTAGAGATAGATAGTGGACTCCTGCTTTGGTACAATGTGTCCTCCTCCAGAGGACACCCACTGTTGCAACTACATAATAAATTGGGCTTTTAACTTCATCCCTCCTGAGCCTGAATGAATTATTTTTAGTTTATTTTAGTTTATTTTTTTATTTTTTAGTTCATTATTTCTCACAATTCCTTGGCATCGTCCAGAATACCAAGCATCGAGGCGGAGAGGCGGTCACCAAAAGGTGGGGAGGTGCACCCCACTGTGAAGGTGAGCACCCTTTCTGTCCAACTGCAGGGAGAGACTGATTGAAAAGGAAGGGTGAATGGAAAAGTAGGAAAACAGGCACACAGGACCATGACCACTGCGTAAGCTCTTATATGGGGCAAGGTAAGAAAATACAGACTATTACCTTGTCCGTGGGGGAATTATCCTACAGGTGTCTGAGACAGAGAATGTGAGGTGTACTTTGGAGGTACGGGAATGTGGGGCTTTGCTGTGCAGCTGCAAGCCTATACTTGCAAATCTGAACCTCTAATTAAGAGGTGGGTCTTTCACGCTCAAGGTATCTCAGGAAGATAGGTAGGATGGGAAATCAGGGAACTAAGGTGCCAGGCAAGGAGAAGGGGAGTTCTCCGGGAAACATGCCTCCAGAGAGTCCTTTAGGGAGGATGGTGAAACATTGGAATGATAATTCTTGTACATGAGGGAAGGATAAGAAGAAAATGATAAAGTATTGCTGTTTTACTTGGCCTAGACAGAGTATTTTACCACCAGCAGTGTTTGGCCAAAATACAGAGCAGGAGGGGAAATGGGGGAAGGTGAGAGGGAATGAGTGAATCTTATTCTCATAGGATTTGACTTAAGGAGGGAATAACATACACACTCATTTGGGTACGGAAATATATCTTACCTTACAGGAAAATAGGGGGAGGAGGGGACAAGACAGCAGGGGATGATAGAGAGGAGGGCAGATTGGGAAAGGGGGTAATCAAAAGCAAACGCTTCTGAGGAGGGACAGGGTCAAAAGAAAGAATAGAATAAATGGGGGGGCGGGATAGGATTAAGGGAAATAGAGTTAGTTTTTCACAACATGTCTACTATGGAAGTGTTTTGCATGACTGCACATGTATAACCTATATTGAGGTGCTTGCCTTTTCAATGAGGGGGGGTGGGGAGGGAGGAAGGGAGAAAATTTGGAACCCAAAGTTTTAAAAACACATGTTTAAAAAAAATGTTTTCACATGCAACTGGGAAATAAGAAATACAGGAAGTAGGGTACAGAAATCTGTCCTGCCCTACAGGAAAATTGAAGGGGAAGGGGATAAGAGAAGGGGGGGGAGAGATAGAAGGGAGGGCAGACTAGGGGAAGGGATATTCAGAATGCATGCCATCTTGGGGTGGGGGGAGGGGCGAGATGGGGTGAAAATTTGGAACTCAAAATCTTGTGGAAGTAAATGTTGAAAACTAAAATTAGTTTATTAATAAAAAATAAAATAAAATGAGGGTGATAGAGGCATATCTCCATCCCAGGGTTGTTGTGAGGGTCAAAGGAGATAATATTTGTAAAGTTCTTAGCACAATTCTGGGCACGCAGTAGGTACTACATAAATGCTTGTTCCATGATGAGGAGGGGACAGGGCTGTTACAGGGCTTCCTTTGACCTCTCGCTTCCATATGAACATTGATTTTCTCTCCGACACCCTCTTGAAGGTCATCGACTTAACCCCTGTCACCTCTATCCCGTAGAGAGCATGATGGACACACCTAAATGCTGTGAGCGGTGTTTCCCCCAGTGAGGTCACGAGCTGCGCCTCCTCTCGATCTCTGGGATGACTTGTCTTTTCCTTGCAGCTCTGCCTTCTGAAGACTCTGCCCTTCCCCGGGATAAGCGCGGACAAGAGGAGGAGGAGGAAGAGATGTCACCTGAGCTCCTGACATCTGTTTACCAGGTGAGTTTGTTTCTTCTGTCTCTTGAAATACCATCTAAAGCCTCCAAGCATGGAAACGTTTCCTTTAAACTCAGTTGGAGGCTCAGATTCCTCCAATCTAGCCACTGCTCAGATTCTTATAATCGAGCCACTGCTTACCCATATTCAGACTCCTTAAGAGTCTGCCCAATATGACAGCGCTCTAATAAACCTTGTCTTTGGCTGAAAGAAGGCTTGGGTCGAATTCTTTCGGGCAGGACCCGTGTGTTGTGATTTTGGGGTCCCAGGACCCCTGAACTCCTAAACCACATCATTTTGGTGGCCCACACGGGGAAACTGCCTAACCCCAAGTTCTTCTCCAGCCAAGACTGGAAGGTGTGTAAGCCTCCCCCACTCCTTTCTCGCTCTGCAGTTAGGGTCGCTTGGAGGAGCTTTTCTGGCAGACAGTTGCAAGGCTGTCTCGCACTCGGCCTGACCTCTCAGGCTTGGTCCACTGGGTCGGTTCAAGGCCATGGACCTGGGTACACCTTCCGCGGCATAGAGGACAAGGACGGATGCCCTATCTGGACACGTATGCCCAATTCTGTCAATTCCCTCAGCGCTGGGGAATTGGGGAAAACTGCAGGTGCTTTTTGGTTCCCTGAGGCTTACTTACTCCCTTCTCTCTATACCCCTGAATTCTCCTTCATGGAGGTTACAGGGGAAAGTTAGAACAGCTGAAAATATCTTGGCAGATTCTGGAGGTTTTGTGATTGATCATTAAGGAGTTTAGAACTTCTCCTTTTTCTCCCACTCCCTTCACTTGAGTCAAGAGGGTATCTATTAATCCCTCTCATAGGAGAAGAGGGTTTCACCCTTTACCCCTCACTTTTGATTTCGCCCTCTCCTACCTGGGGAAAAGGAAGGTGGGGGAAGGGCAGCATCTACAGCATGGGCCCCACTGGCAGTGGCCTTGGGCTCTGGGGCAACCTTTGCCTGGAAGCCTCACCCAGGTTCAGCACATCCTGCTCAAGGTAAAGAAGCTGGCCTCTGAACTTGGGTAAGCACGCTCTTTTAAATTTGTAGTTTTAACTGTTAAGATGAGATGTTGATTTCTCTGTGTAAAGTAATTTGGAAGTGCATTTAACAAAACTGAAGTCACCTGATTAATATTGAGTTTGTTTCAAGTTTCAAATTGGTGAACTTTCTGTATCAGTTATGTCAAGCAATTTTTCATAATATTGTTACCACTAAAATAATTTAGCTATTGTTGGTTATTGTTTTAATGTGTAAACTAGCCAAAAAGTTTGTTTGGGTTATGTATGGCTTGCTGAGAATTTGCAAGTGTATAGAAATCTCTAATGATTGGCTTTTTACATTAGGATAAATTTAAGTTTGAGATGTAAATCCTGGAAAAGTTTTTCCTAAGCTGTGATTAGTAAAATTTACTGTTTGAGGTAAAGGCTGATAGGATTTTATTTTGAGTTGTCTGATGGGTCATAATCCATCGATAATCAATAATCCACCATCTGAGAGAAATGCCACAAACTACTCAGAGAAGATGATACTGGTGGGAAGTCAGCATCGGGAAAAGCTGAGAGGACAATTTTAGCCTCAGTCTAGGATGGGATCCTCCTGGCTCAGTTTCCCCATTACGTTCCTTTGAAAGGAAATGTTACCCACCTGGCTATTCCTGAGTCTGGCTATGAGGTGGATTTGATACTGCATGGTTGGAAAACTGAGTTACCTGAATCCAAACAGAGCTAAGGATGTTTTATCCTGTTATATCTGGGCCCTGCAGTCTTTTCTGTCAGATTTGTGTCTTCCAGACTACAGGCCATTCACCTGCAGTTGATAGCAAACAGTGGGTACCAGCCAATGTCCCCCCATCGTTCCCTCGGTTCCAGTCAACCTCCTCTTTGGGACCCCCTCGAGGCAGGGACAGCTCTATGCGCCCTGCCAGCAGGAAGCAGTTTGTCCCTTACTCCAAAAGAATTTGGGTCCCATTTGTTTGAGGGGGGAAGGATGGGGTTGGGATCTAGACCCCAGAAAGGAAAACCCTGGACTTTCACCTGAGGCTATAATCCCATCAACTGGCCTTTCACTGTGGCCACATCCAATCTCCCCTCCATTGTCTTGCCTCCCCATGGCCCCAGGCCACTTCCTACCCTTGGTAATTCTATTACCACATGGACTACTTGGCCACTCCTAGACCCCTCCCACAGTCTTTCTGTATAGAAGGTCCATCTCATCTCCATTAAGATGCTCAGATTCCTAAAATCTAGCCACCGCACAGATTCTTATAATCGAGCCACTGCTTACCCATGTTCAGACTCCTTAAGAGTGTGCCCCAATGTGACAGTGTTCTAATAAACCTTGTCTTTGGCTGGAAAAAGAAAACAAAACAAACCTCAGTTGTACCTGCTCCTGCAGGTTCCATTTAGACATCTGAGCCTCCCTTGTTCTCCCCCGTAAGACTGGCTTGACATCATAGGCTGTCAGAACCTTACCAAGTTCAGAGCTGAGCTCTGTGGTTGGTTCTTGAGGTTTTACAGATGGTCAGACCAGTGGGCTGGTGGAATTGGACACCCAGATGTTCAGCCAGAAATTCTGAGCCCCCAGGAGCCAGTGGCACTAGAGAACACGGACATAATGGAGCTCCCACCCACCAGAGATCCTGCGCTTCGGGGGTCAAGGGCGTTGTGTGTGTTCACTTGTTTCAGTCCTGTCTGACTCTTGGTGACCCTATTTGGGGTTTTCTTGGCAAAGATACTGGAGTGGTTTGCCATTTCCTTCTCCAGCTCATTTGACATGGGAGGAAACTGAGGCAAACAGGGTGAAGTGACTTGGCCAGGGTCATACAGATAGGAAGTGTCTGAGGCCAGATTTGAATTTAAGAAGATGAGTCTTCCTGACTTCTGGCTTGACACTCGAACCACCGTACCACCTAGCAGTCAAGGATGTTACCAGAACTAGATTTATCTGAAAGAGCTCAGGATTGGAGAACTTCTCCCCATATTTCCTCCTGTCGATTCTGTGTCTCTCTGTGAACCCTGTGTAACAAGAGACGTGTTTGATGTTTCAGGAATCAGTGACATTCGAGGATGTGTGTGTGGACTTCACCCGAGATGAGTGGGGCCACCTGAGCCCTGCCCAGCGGGCCCTGTACAGGGAGGTGATGCTGGAGACCTTTGAGATCCTCGTCTCCCTGGGTAAGGACACCCCTCTGCCCTGGAGATGGGCTCTGATCACTAAGTGTCTCTGCTTCTCACTTGGCAGACCCCGGCAGGTAGCACGTGAGCTCTCCTGGGCTGGGATTTCTTTGCAGTGATGGGGTCCAGCACATCATCCGGGGAAAGATCCTGGAAGCTTTTTCTGCTCTCTGCCCAGGGGAAAAGACTTGGTTTTGTAGGTGGGCATGCTGCCCCTGTGTCGTAATGGCTTTGAGGCTCTAGCTTCCCAACTCTCTGTCTCCCCAGGTCAAACGTTCTTGCTCAGTCCCATGACCCATGTGGCCTGAAGACATGAGAAGATCCTCTCCCCTAGGCAGGGAGGGGCCCAGTAAATCAGTGGTCTCTGGGTCCCAATCAAGTCTGGGTTTCATCCCCAAAGAGGGGTTGAGTCCTGGCCTCTGGGCCTTCCCGGCATGGTTTCCTTTCCCTGCAGAGAAGGGGACCAGGAAAGGATTCTGGGGTGGTTTTCTGTCCCCAAAACTTCATATCTCTCCATGATCAGGGCTTCCAGGTTTGAAACCAGATGTGATCTCCTGCTTGGAGAGAGGAGAAGCTCCATGGATGCTTGAGGAAGAGGTCCCAAGAGACCCTTACCCAGGTGAGTGAGTGAAAAGTGGATGGGAGGATGGGAGTCATGGACATCAAAGAGCTGATGAATGAATATCTGGAAAAGAAAGGGGTGATCCCCAAGTGCCTGGTGTTCTTTCATCAAGACCAGGCCCCATAATCCACTGGTGGGCTGGTGGGTGCTTGGCTTTGCTGACCTGCTTTCTTTCCCCTTTTTTTTCTTTTAATTCTTATTACAAGAGATGACTCCCTGGGTAGGAGAGGTGGAAGGATGGACTCAGAAATGAGGTGATTTCAGGGAAAGATCAATAGAAATTTTATGTAAAAAGTGATGTTGGCCTAACCTTATTTCCTTTCTTTGGCATGGTTGCCCTCCTTACAGAGCAGAAAAATGATGTAGATACAATTCACCTTTGCATTTTAGCAAAGCATTTAATAAAAGTCTCCCCTGTTATTCTTGTGGAAAAAATTGAGACATGTGGTCTAGAAGATAGTATCATTAGGGGGACATGAAAGAGGTACAGTGGCTGGAGCCAGGAAGTGGTCACTGACCTGGAATTCCTCAGGTTCAAATGGCCAGCTCCCAAGAGAAAGAGCTCTCTCTCCAGTGGAGTGGTCCCAGGGGTTGTGCTTGGCCCTGAGAGTTGTGCATAGCATCATAGATCTGGACCTAGAAGGGTCCTTAGAGGTCATCCAGTCCAGTCTCCTCATTTTATAGATGAGGAAACTGAGGCAGAGAGGTGAAATAACTTGCTCAGTCATGTAGCCAGTAATTGTCTAAGTTAAGATTGCAGCTCAGGTCTTCTTGACTCCTACGTCTAATGCTTTCTCTGCTGTGCCAACGTTCTGTTTCCTACTGATGGCCGTAAGAGCTTGAAAAGATTTTGCATTGATAGTTTTTATTTTCAAATGACCTTCATTTCCCAGTGTATCCCTCCTCCACCCCCCATGCAGAGATCTATCCTTTATGACAAAAAAATAAAAGGGAAAGGGAAAAAAGCAGTCCCTAAAATCTAACCAATGCATCTTATGAGTGCTTTCAGTGTGGCTGAACATAATTCACGCAGGCCTGGGCATAAGTACTGTGTTCCCGCCTCCGCAGCGGTCTTTGGCAGTGTTCTTCTTTTGGCATATTGGTCTTCATTCTTGATGGAAAAAACAGAATCTCAAACTTAATGTAAAGTAGTTTTCTTTTTTCTGACAGAGACGACAGTGACTATTGACTTTGTTTTTTCAGGTTCATTTCATGAGGAAAAATGTGAAACCAAGGACATTGTCATGAGAGCATCAGCCAAGGAAAGACTGCAGAAGGTTGGTGTCTGGGACGCCAGTACAGGAGAAACTGGGCAATGTGCTGCCAGTGTAGAGAAGAAACAGGGAAACTGGGAGGGGTAGATTGGGCAAGTAATATTCCTCCACAGCAGCGAGATCCCCAAGGCGAGTGCCTCTGATTATGGCACCTTTGGAAGAAGTTTCCCAAGACAGAGTCCCCACAAGAGTACGTCTCCATGAAAAAGTGTATTTGAGGAGAACATCACACAGTGATAAGACCTACTTAGACATAATAGAATACCATGTTCTGGGGCAGTAATGGAGGAATGCCTTCGGACACTCCTCAGAACGCAATTTCATACTTATATACTAGAGAATAGGTGTATGACCGTAGTGAATGTGAGAAAGTCTTCAGTAAAAGAGCATCCATCCTTTCCTTCCTAGCTGCATGGTGGTGCAGTGGATGGAGCTTTGGACCCTTGAGTTAGGAAGACTTTAGTTCAAATCCAGCCTCATACACTTATGAGCTGTATGACCTTGGGCAGGTCATTTAACCTCTGTCTCAGTTCCTTATCTTTCAAATGGGGATGATAATAGTGCTTATCTCCCAAGGTTGTTGTGAGGACAAAATGAAATAATGTTTGTAAAGGGTTTTGCAAACTTTAAAGTACAATATAAATGCTAGCCATTATTATCAGTGAATGTAAATTGGAGAAAACACTCAATGTGTTCATGAATATAGAAAAGACTTTAGTCAGTAGGGAAGGCTTAGTGTCCATCAAAGAGCTCGCATTGGAGAAAAACCCTTTTAGTGAATTTTGGGAAACTTTCAGCCAAAGCTTTTGACTTCTGCCCACTAGAAAATTCATACCAAAGAGACACTCTTTGAATATGATAAATGAGAGAAAGCCTTTAATAATGAGTCTTGCCTTCTTTTACAGCAAGGAGTTCATACTAGAAAGGAATCCAATAAATGGAATGAATGTGAGAAAGCCTTCAGCCAGAATGCACTCCTTACGTATCATGAGAGAATTCTTGCAGGTGAGAAACCCTGCAAGATTAAAGAATGTCAGAAAGCTTTTTGTCAGTTGAGAAGCCCTAATGACTGTAAGAGAGTTTATGCTCAAAAGAAACGCCATCTTTCTAATGAATGTGAGAAAATTTTTACTCTACATCAGGGAGTTCACTTTGCAAAGGAGCCCTTTTATTGTAATGAATGTGGCAAAGTCTTTAGGTGGAGATGTAAACTTAATGCACATCAGAGAATTCATACTGGAGAGAAACCCTTTGAATGTAATGAATGTGGAAAAGCCTTCAGTGAGAAGGTTTGTCTTAAAAGGCATCAGAGAATTCATACTAGAGAGAAATCGTTTGAATGTAATGAGTGTGGAAGAGCTTTCCGTGACGAATCTTACCTTATGCTGCATCAAAGAATGCACACTGGAGAGAAACCCTTCGAGTGTAGCGAATGTGGGAAAAACTTCAGCCTGAAGTCTTCACTTATTTTACATCATAAAATTCACACTGGGGAGAAGCTCTTTGAATGCAATGAATGCAAGAAAGCCTTCCATTACAGGTCTTGCCTTACTCTCCATCAGAGAATTCATACTGGAGAGAAACCCTATGAGTGTGATGAATGTGGGAAAAAATTTAGTCTGAGGTCATCACTTATTAAGCATTGGAGAATTCATACTGGAGAAAAACCCTTTGAATGCAATGAGTGTGGGAAAAACTTCAGCCGGAAGTCATCACTTAGTTTACATCAAAAGATTCATACTGGAGAAAAACCCTTTCAGTGTAATGAATGTGGAAAAAACTTCAGCCAGAAGTCATCACTGGTTTCACATCAGAGAACTCATACTGGAGAGAAACCCTTTGAGTGCAATGAATGTGGGAAAAACTTCACTCGTAGGTCATTACTTAGCAAACACAAAAGCGTTCATGCAAGAGAGAAACCTAGTTAATATAATAAATGTAGGAAAGCTTTACCATACAGAATTAATAAATGAGAATTCATGCTGGAGGGTAAGGTTGAAACCCTTGAAATATAGTTCATTCTTGACTTGTTATCAGAAACCACTTGTTTGAAAGAAATTACATAGAAGCAATGAATGCAGAAAAACATTCAGCCAAAAAAAGCACTTTACTGAACCCCAGAGTGTGCATGAGAAACTCCATAAGTGTAATAAAATGCAGCAAAGTCTTAGGCACTGATGGAACACTTAGGAAGGCACAGAGAATTCATGCAGAAGAAAAAGTTGAGAATACTATAACGATAGGAAGACCTTCATGGTATGTGGTTCATCCCTTATTTAATATCATAAACCTCATGCTGGAAATGAACTGCAGCAATGTAAAAATGATGGGAGCATCCTAACAGCTTGCCTTCTGTTTAATGCTGGAGAGTCAAGATTGCTGACTTGATTACATTATTTTGTGGTGTTTTGAGAAGGACAAATAACAATTTCCTTTGTTTCTCCTGAGCTCTATGCAGTTCACATTGGTTGCCACCAGGTGGCAGAAGAGTTGTACTAGTCAGTGCATCAGATATGATAGTACCTCTAATCACAATCAGACTGTCATCTAAAAAATCCCTTTTATTTTTAACTCTCACTGGCAAGTTACAGGCATTCAGATGCATAAGAAACCTCAGCCCAAAATGGGTGTATGTTGTTTTCTAACACAGTCACAAGAAAAATCAAAGCAAATTGGGAAATACATTTGTTCATTGAACTCTTTCTTCCTCCATTAACTTATTTATGCTTAATAATAAGTTTTATTGATGCCTTTTGTCTTTACAACATGGGTCATTTCTCCGTAGAGCTTTACCCTTCTCCATACACTTCTCATAAAAGTCTGATATCCAGCATTGATAGGGACCTGACATGAATTTATAACAATAGGAATCATTCTTCAGTAGGCAAGGTGTCAAAATATGTGAATAGGCAGATTTAAAAAAAGGAAACACAAGTTATCCACAACCATATGAAAAAAAAAAAGCCATTCAGAATCTCTAGAATCTAAAAGTTCTGAGATTCTCTTCAACCTCATGGATTTGGCAAAGATTGTTAAAAATGAAAGAATTTGATACTGGCATGACTATGGTAAATACAGGAATGCTTTTATACTGCTTATAGCGTCATGAATTATTTAAGATCACAAAAAATCATTTGTAGTAAAAGTCTGGATATGTTTTATATTTACTTAGTTGTAAATGATTTTTCCCTTTCCTTTTAAAAAATATTATTGATAGCTTTTGTTTCTTCATTTCCCAACGTGTTTCCCTCGCTCCTCTCAGATAGCTATCATTGTCCATTTGTAAATGGGAAATAGTCCATGGTTGGGCTGTCCCATTATGATGAAAATAATAATACTTTAATTACACATTTGGTGCTCTACCAATGAAAACACTGAAGAATTACTTTGTAGCCCTAGATAAAATAATAACCTTAGTTTGGAGGGAGAAAAGGTCTAGAATCATAGAGGAAATGATGGGGGATAAAATGTAAGCATGAAGAAGACGTAGCCATTCTAGATCTCAAATTGTGTACCAGAGTAGTAGTCATCAAAACCATTGGTACTGATTACAAATCAAAAAAGCTCATCGGGGGAACAGACTTAGAGAAGCAGGAATCAGAAACAGTTCAGTGAGAAGGTGCTAGTGGGACCAGTTGAGCTATGACTGCCAAGTCAACCCGTAACGTGGGTAATATGGGTGCTATGACTTTTTTTCTCAATGTGCAGAAAGATAGGGTTATTATTTCGGGTTTTTATTATTGCACACACCTTCCTTTGGTTTTTCTGTTTGCCTCACTCATTTGTTCATTGTACATGCTTTTATAATCTGTTCCTCTTACAGCTTCTCCATACAACAAAAATAAAAATACCTTAATTGTAAGCATGCACGGTCCAGCAGAACCAGTTCCCAGAGTGGCCAGGCCATCACATGTATGTGTCTCTGCATTCTAAATTCATCCTCCTTCCCCGCAGGAGCTGAGTGGTTTGTTACCTCTTCAGTCTCCTGCCATCGCATTGATCTTTCCTTTATTAATGTAAATGCATTGATGTTGCTTGTTAATTATCCATGAGTACCCACATTTATACATAGCTGCATTAATAATTAAGACCCCTCTCTCTAATATTAGGTCCCTATGAAGATTTTTTCAGCTACATAAATCTCCCCTATCCCACTGTGTAGTAAGCATTCACATAGACAATCCCAAGCTAAATATCTCAGGACTGTCTTTTAACAAAGGACCCTTGTTCTGTCATTTGATATCCTAATGTCCTAAAGATATCTGGTGGCAGTGGCCAAGCCGTTCTGAGATTGCACGAATTCCCTGGGACACTTGTGCCCATGCCAGGGACTTATTCCCATGCTGTATAGTTTTCCTTCTCGATGGTTTTTTCCTAACACCCCTGAGTCAGCTGAGGTCTGTTGCTGACTTTCGACTTATGACTTGATAGATGTATCTCTGCCTGGGTTCAAGATACCCTCCCCCACCAGAGATTACAAGTGAGATATTAGCGTCCTTTGTTAACACACATTGAGCAGGGATAGGGGAAAACCAGCATTTCAATCCTATGTCCCTTATCTCTTGTAATCAATTGTGTACTCTCAAGAACTTTAAACTATGGTTTGGGGAGTGCAGGAAAACAGATACTTTGCTTCTCAAACAATTGTTGCCACAGAACTCTTAAGGAAGACAACTGTGAAGGAGTTAACGTGAAAAATGCTGTGCATCCCCAGAGAAAGAACTGATGGAGTCTGAATACGCCTTTTTTAAAAATTTTACTTTATTTTTCTTGGCCTTTATTTTGGTCCATACTTCCTTTTACAACATGACTAATATGGAAATATGTTTTGCATGATTATACATCTATAACTTAAATAGGATTGCCTGCCTTCTCAATAAGGGGGGTGGGGAGGGAGGGAGAGAATTTGGAAGTCCATTTAAAAAATAAATGTTGAAAATTGTTTTTATATGCAATTGGGAAAAATAAAATATTAAATTAAAGAAAAGAAAACTCCTAGCCCTGTCAGTCTGATTATTCTTATGTTTTCTTCTCTTGATCTGTTCTCCAGATCAGCTCTTTTTCTTATGAGATGTTTCACATTCTCTTCTCTTCTATTTCTTCATTCTTTATATTTCCTTTTATTATTTCTTGGTCTCTCGTGACTTTGCTGACTCTGCCTTGCCCAATTCTGATTTTCAAGGAGTCTTTTTCTTCCTTAAGACTCTGGATCTCCTTTTCTAATTGGTTGACTTTCTTTTCGCAATTTTCTTGTTTTTCTTGGAGTGTTCTCAGTTGTTTTTTTCCCCCTCAATCTCTCTCATTTGATTTTTTTAAAATCTTTTTAAAGTTCTTCTTGGTCAGGTGACCGTTTGACATCACTCTTTGGGATAGAAGAGGGTTTCTTTGCTTGAGTGTCATCTTCTGAAGACAAACCCCAGTCTTCTCTATTCCTGTAATAACTTTCTATGGTTGGATTCTTTCTCCTTTGCCTGCTTATTTTTTCCTTTGTAGCCGCTTATTTTTTGGTAATCGCCTCTAGTCCTGGAGTAAGGGGGATTGTGCCTCTGCCCTCAAATCCTCTTTCAGTTCTCCCCTTTGGCCTGGCAACAAAATCAAGACTACCAGTCTTCTGTAAGTGCCCACAGCTAGCGATTTCCAGCCCCACTGCTTCTGCACTCACTAGGTGTGTGCTGGTTCCTTTTCACCCAGGACTGCTTCTTCGTAGCACAGCTGGGTCCAGCGCTTCTTGTCAGCAGAATTTCCCTCAATCTTCCCCAGCTCAGATGCCCAACTCCCCTCACTGTCCCAGGGGTAAAAGCTCCTGTAGCTGGGGCCAAGGCTGCTTCCCAACCTACCTAATGCAGTTAAAGTGGAACTAGCCTGAAGGTGTTTACTCTTCACAGGAATCAAACCTCATCCTGGGATTTTCCTTCCGATCTTCTCCGATTGTCCCAGGATGACCACTGCTCTGCCCCTACTCTTACTTATTTTTACTGCTCTATATTTACTCTGAGGCGCAATTTCATCTTGTTTGTGGGGAAAATCTGGACCTTCCCAGAATCTTCTCAGAGCTCAACTTTAACATAGATTTCAAAGTGAAGAAATAGGCTGGGGAAATGAGTAAACAACAAAAAAATGAACTCGACCATGAAAAAGCTGCTACAGTGGCAGGGAAGATCAAGACATGAACTTAGGGGGTACAAAAAAGAACTGAAGAAAAGAACATCTTAAAAAGCAGAATTGGTCAAATGGAAAAAGAGGTACAAAATGTCACTGAAGAAAATAATTCTTTAAAAATCTGAATTGCGCCAAGTAGAAGCTAATGACTCCATGAGACTTCCAGAAACAACCATACAAAGTCAAAAGAATGAAAGAATAGAAGAGAATGTGAAATACCTCATTGGAAAAACAGCTGACCTGGAAAATAGGTCAAGGAGGGATACCTTAAGAATTATTGAACTACTGAAAGGAATGGTAAAAAAAAAAAAAAAACAAAAACAAAAAACAGCCTAGCCATCATCTTTCAAGTATTTGTCAAGGAAAACTGCCCTGATGTTCTAGAACCAGAGGGTAAAATAGAAACTGAAAGAACCCACCAGTCACTTCCTGAGAGAGATCATGAAATGAAAACTCCTAGGAATAGTATAACCAAATCCCCAAAATCCCAGGTCAAGAAGAAAATATTGTTAAGTAGCCAGAAAGAAACAATTCAAATATGGAACCACAGTCATGATTCCATAAGATTTAGCAGCTTCCATATTAAAGGAGCAAAGGGATTGAAATATGATATTCCAGAGGGCAAAGAAACTAGGATTACAACCAAGAGTAATTTACCCAGCATAACTAAGTGTAATCCTTCTGGGGGGAAATGGATAGTTAACAAAACAGAGGACTTTTAAGCATTCTTGATGAAAAGATCAGAGCTGAATAGAAAATCTGACATTCAAATAGAAGATTCAAGAGAAACATAAAAAGGTAAATGGGAAAGAGACTCATAAGGTACTTAATAAAGTTGGACTGTTTACATTCCTATATAGGAAAGTAATATATATAACTCCTAAGAACTTTATCATTATTAGGGCAGTTAGAAGGAGCCTGCATAGACAGAGGGCATAGGTGTGACCTGAATATGGGATCTTCAAAAAAAGAATGTAGAAGTGCGAACCAGGGATGCACCGGAGAAAGGGGAAGGGAGTGGTAGATTGGAGCAAATTTTCTCCCATAAAAGAGGTGTGCAAGGAAGAGCTTTTCTAGTGAGGGGGGAAATGGGCAGAGGTGGCAGGCAATGCTCGAACCCCACTCTCATCAGAATTGGTTCAAAGAGGGAGGACTATATATACACACTCAATTGGGTATAGAAATCTATCTTGCGCAATAGGGAGATAGGAGGGGAAGAGGATAAGAGATATGGGGGCAGCGTGATAAGGGCTCCAAGGGTGGATCGGGGGAGACAGTGATTGGAAACAAGACAGACTTTTGAGGAGGGACAGGATAAAAAGAGAGAGGGGGATAAACAGAGGAAAATGGGATGGAGGGAGATGCACAGTTAGTCATCATAACTGAATGTGAATGGGATGAGCTAACCTATAGAATGGAATTGGGTAACAGAATGGTTTGGAAAACAGAATCCAACAATATGTCACGTACAAGAGACACACTTGAGGGGCAGCTAGGCGGCGCAGTGGATAGGGCACCGGCCCTGAAGTCAGGAGGACCTGAGTTTAAATGCGGCCTCAGACCAAACACTTGACACTAGCTGTGTGACCCTGGGCAAGTCACTTAACCCCAACTGCCTAAAAACAAAACAAAACAAAAAAAAAAGAGACACACTTGAGAGAGAGAGACACACACACACACACAGTTGAAAAGAAGAGCTGGAGCAGGGTCTGTTATGCTTCAGCTGAAGTGAAGAGGGCAGGAGTGGCAATCATGATCTCAGATAAATCAAAAGCAAAATTAGACCTAATTTAAAGAGATAGTCAAGGAAACTACATTTTGCTAAGAGGTACCATAGATGGATGAAGTAATATAAAAAAATTATAGCAAATGACTCTGATAAAGGCCTCATTTCTCAAATATATAGGGAACTGAGTCAAATGTATAGTAATAAGAGTCATTCCCAAATTGATAAATGGCCAAAGGATTTGAACAGGCAGTTTTCAGAAGAAATCAGGCTCTCTATAGTCATAAGAAAAGATGCTCTACATCACTGTTATTTGCCCTTCATTTTTTTCAAAGAGGAACAATAGCATGGTGAGGGTGATGTCTTGACCTCAGATTGAATTAGATTGAAGTGAGACAAAGCTGTCAGACTCGTGATCTCTTCCAGAGTCATCAAACTCCAATGGCAGGACAAAAAGTCAAGCCTACTAGAGATTGCCTGGGATGGAGGGGAGGATCTTGGCATTTCTGATGTGTGACCAAAGTCTAAGCGCTCCACAGACCTGCTTCAGCTGCCTTCGTGGCCATTGGAAAAACTTGTTCCCATCCACCCATTCCACCCGGGTAAGTCTTCAGGTGCTTTGGGTAGATATCCCCCAACTCACTGATGGGTTTGAGGGCTGTTGGTTACCCTCAACTTGGCCTGTCTGCCAAGACAGTTTTACTAGGGTGTGGCTGCTGTGCATGCTACAGCTTCTTGGAGCCACAGGTGAGAGTTGGGTGAAAGGCGGGCACAAAGGTGCCCGAGAAAAGGCACCAGAGGTGCAAGTCCTCCCTGAATACCCCATACACCCCTCTAACTCACTATTCATCAGAGAGACAACTTAAACAACTCTGAGGTACCTACCACCTCACACCTATCAGAAATGAGAAATGCTGGAGGGGACGAGGGAAAATCGGTACACTCATGAGCTTTTGGTGGAGTAGTTCACTGGTCCAACCATTCTGGCATATCCTTTGACCCAGCAATACAATTACTAGTTCTGTATCCCAAAGAGATTAAAGAAAAAGGAAAAGAACTTACATGTACAAAAATATTTATAGCAGCTCTTTGGTGGCAAAGAATTGTAAATTGAAGGGATGCCCATCAGTTGGAGAATGGCTGAACAAGTGATGGTATATGAATGTGATGGAATACTATCATGCTTTGAGATATGACAGGGTGGTGATTTCAGAAATAACAAGGCAAGACGTCGATGAACCGATGCAAGACGAAGTGAGAAGAACCAGGAGAACGTTGTACCCGGTAAAAGCGACATTGTCAAGATGATCAGCTTTGTGAAAGATTGGGCTGCGCGGATCAGTGCAGTGAACCATGACAATTCCAAAGGATTTACGACCGAAAACGCGATCCCCTCCAGAGACAGCGCTGGCCAACTCCGACTGCAAAGTCAAGCAGGATTTCCTCGCTCTCTTTGTCTTCTGGGACACCGCTAATCTGCAGCTCGATTTGAGATATTGTTTGCCTACACAGTGAGTGGGGGAGAGGTGGGAGGGAGAGAATCTGGAGCTGAAAATCTAAAAAGAAAAGAATGTTAAAAAATATGAATAATACATGTTTAGAAAGTGGGGGGGAAGAAGAGTTAAGCTACGCTCGCCATCTGGTGCTGAAATGAGGAAGGACCCAGGCTCTGGCTCAGAGTCTCGGTGGGTGTGGGGAGAAACAGAGAAGACTTCATTTCCCAGGATTCCCTTGGCGTGCCTCAGCCTCACGCCCTACCATCCTATGTCGCGGTGCCTTCTGGGAATGGTAGTACAGGAGTTGGGTTGCGGAGAGACCATTGCGAGGGAGGGAGTGCGCAGGTGCGGAGCGCGGCCTGGAGGGCCTGGCTTGCTTATCCCCGTGCATCCTGGGGCTGGGAGTTCACGGGCTCCCTGTGCGCAGGCGCACTTTTCATAGGTCCAGCCTTGGAAGCTTTGCTGGGGGCTGTGCAGTACAATCTGCCAGGCCCCCCAAGGAGGGAGTGCGCATGTGCCATACTCACCCTGCCTGAGTCCAGGTAGAGATTGTGGCATCGCCCAGGGGAGGTGAGTGTTCTCGGGGGTGAGCGTGGATGGGGCAGAATGGGGGTATTCCCGGGGCAGGGAGCGCAGGACTCCGACCACATGTCCCTGCTCAAGAACCTTCAGCGGCTCCCTGTTACCTCCCCGAGAGCGTGGGCCAGGTCCAGAATTGGAGACGATCCCCGCAAGCACCCAGCCCAGCGGCCTCCCTTACAGACGAGGAAACTGAGGCCCAGTGGGGAATGGCCTGCCTGAGGGCATCCCAGAAGGCAGTCCCCAGCCCAGAGGGTTGTGCCAGCCTTGCTGGCGCTGGAACCAGCCCCCGTGATCAGACTGCAGCCTCCTGGCTCCTCCTGTGTTCTGGAGCGGTTCTGTGTTCCCCAGACTCTGGAGTCGTCTCCAGCCTCCAGACTTTTGCACAGGCTGTTCCTTCCCCTGCCATCCCTCTGCTTTAGCTTCCCAAAGTTCTTCCAAGGCTTCCCTTGGATGCCCTTGGACCAAACTTTGTGTTGTACACCCGCCTCCCGCCACCCAGCTCCTTCTTTTAGCTTAGGGTCTGGCCTGTGATTTCATTGAGCTGACAGTGGGGGCTGGCGCCCCTCTTTGGTTTACAGGCTTGCAGATTCACCTGTGGGGAAGGGCTTGGGCTGGGCTGTAAATGGTTTGCGGGTAGCCACCACATGTCAGGGGCTCAGCTTGAAACCAGGTTTTCCAGACTCCTGAGGCCAGGCCTCTGTACAACAATAACCCCCCCTCCCCATTCCCAGTCACAGGGGGTGGGGTGGGGCCCAGGCCTTTGTATTCACTTACCTGTGCTCCTCTCTTGGCCTCTGCCAGCCTGGATTCGTTGTTTTCTCAGCATCCCTCCTTGCACCAGTTCCTTGCACATAGTAGGCACTTAATGCAGGTATTTTGAACTGAATGACCACAAAGGGCTACACTCCAGAGACAAGGGAGCTGGCAGGAATTCAGCTCATTATTGGTTCCAGTTGAGAGCTGAGACTTGTATCATGGAATCTCACCTGAGCCGTGCCCACCTCTTGCTCACTGGAGTTTGAAGCTAGCCCTACTGTGCATCCCCAAATAGAAATAACAGTGATGTTATTTTGTGTGATTTGTGCCTCCAGGGTTCACTGGTTAAACATTGTCTTATAGCAGGCAAAGAACTTTGTCTAGTAATTCAGAAAGTCAGTCTATCAGTAAGCATTTATTAAGTGCCTGCTGTTTACTGGACACTATGGTAAGTGCTGGGGATTCAAAGAGGTGAAAGTCCCTGCCCTGGAGGAGCTCACAGCCTAGTAAAGGAGATGTCAAGTAAACAACTGGGTACAAACAAAATGGAGACAGGCTAAATTGGAGACAACAGAGGGAAGGCACCAGCCTCATGAAGAAGGAAAAGCCAGGGGGGGTCAGGAGTCAGAGTAGAGGAGAGAGAGAGTGTTTCAGGCATGGGGGCGGCCTGAGAAATGCCCAGAGCAGAGATTTGGAGGGTCTTGTTCATGGAACAGCCAGAAAAGATGGGAGGGGGCCAGGTTTTGCAGGGCTTTGAATGCCAAGAAGAGGATTTTATATTGGATTCTGGAGGTGATAGTGAGCCATAGGAGTTTATTGAGTAGGGGATGATATGGTCAGACCTGCACTTTAGTTAAGTCTCTTTGGTCCATGAATGGAGGATGGACTGGAATAGGGAGAGACTTGAGGCAGGCAGACCCGTCAGCAGCCATTGCCATAGTCCAGGTGTGAGATGATGATTCCCTGTACCAGTG